CTTTTTATATTCTTATTTTTTATTAATGCCACTTTGTCATTTTTTAATTAATAGTTAAAAATCATTCAATGCAAAATTAATTCCTCCAAATCAATTTTAGATATTTTTTTCATTTTCGTTTTCACAACAAAAATAAGGAAATTAAAAGCTTTCCCAAATTAATTGGATTGATTTGTAATAAAAAAATTCACTTCATATATTTAATGGTAGAATTGTAAATTGGGCATATATATTTTTTCTTTCCTTTCATTTTTCATCCAATACCAAACAATAGAAAATATATCTCTCTTACTTTTCATCTCTCTTACCAAACAAGAAAGAAGGAAAATAACTTTTTTTCTTTTAAAGATGAAAAGTTTCTTCTCNATTTGTAATAAAAAAATTCACTTCATATATTTAATGGTAGAATTGTAAATTGGGCATATATATTTTTTCTTTCCTTTCATTTTTCATCAAATACCAAACAATAGAAAATATATCTCTCTTACTTAACAAGAAAGAAGGAAAATAACTTTTTTTCTTTTAAAGATGAAAAGTTTCTTCTTTCCACTTTTCTTTCTTTCCTTCTTTCCATCCTTCGTACCAAATGAACCATTAAAAATCTTATTAAAAATTGATAGGAAGAAAAATATGTATGATCTAAAGCTATTTGGGAATAAGCATGAATTGCTACTCAGGAGTTATTTGACAATAAAAATTAGTTATTTGTCAATAATAACGAGCACATGCAAAGGTGAGCTTGCTCAACTCAAATCACATGTTACTCGAATTAGGCTCTGTTTTTTGGCTTAAGCTCAGTTCATCTGTTAGTTTCAGGATTGGTGTGGGAGGAAGATGCGTAATCCACAAAAAAAAAACACTTAATTTACATGTCACTCCGACCGATAATCTATTGAGAGACCTTATTATTACACTAAAAGAGTATCATAAATATTTATTCACTATAATAATATTTGTGTACTATACAACAAATGAAATGGGCTCGAGACTATTAAATCTACGATATCTTGCTTGGGCTCAAATTTATTATTAAATATGATGATGCAAAAAAATTAGAAATATGAGTGGAGGGAAAGTTGAAGAGCTCTTCTAATTGTTGAGTGGTTGATATTTATGTGCACTAATTGTTGTATACGTATGTTACGTTGCATGCACGTGAACAATTCCTTTTTTTTTTTTGTTGGGATGAGTTTTTAGATATATTTGTTTGAAGTCTTTAGACATGTTTTTGAATTGTCCATTATCTAATAGATTTGGAAAGATGATGAGAATCTAAAGGAACAAAATATATGATTCGTAAATAATTGATAAATTGACCACATCACCTATTTTAAGCCTTTTGCACCAACAAAACTAAGCAAGCAATAAAGTGCTACAATTGTTCAAAAAAAGTGTACACATTGAGTACTGCATTAATAAATTATAAAGAGCACATTAGATCCGAAGAGAGTGTGTTAAAGCCCACACAGATTACATTAAACCCCCATGCATAGTGGAAATAACAACTACTTAAGTTTAAAATTAGAAAAGTACAAAACTCAAATTAATTCAAATAAAGTATCGTACACAATGACGTGCTAGCACTTTACTGGTAGAAAGGTTAGGGGGCTTGAAAACTGTTGCTTGTTGTCTACTTCTCGAGTTTTCATTGCCCCGTTCTGTAACTTCCATTCTTTTGTCATCTGTTCACGAGGAGGCAGCAAAAAGAGAGAAAGAAATGACTATCTAGCGGGAATTGTTTCGGTTGTTAACCTACCAGTTTTCAAATATAAACAAGTTACTATGCAAAATAACAAATAAATAATACCCTGACTATCATTACTACTCCAATAGCAAAGATCTAGACAGTACTCTTATAATTAAGCAAACTATGTGATTTCATTGGATTCATGGGACAAGATAGGAACCATTAAATACTGCATCAGCAAAAGAGGCAGTCCGGATAGCGGGCACATAAAATGGGTAAGACCCACTTAAGTATTTAAATATCATTAAAGCAACCCTTAATTTTTCAGTACACTTACATTCGGTGGTACATGAAAAGTGTATTTAACACAAAATAACAGTATGGTGCTCACAAAAAAAATGGTAAAAATGATAAAGAATATAAAATAAAAATATTACACATGCATCAAAATTTTTTAGATGAAAAATATAGGTATGATACCAAAAAATTTCTTTTTGGTGCGGTATGTATGCACTTGCACACACTTACTCGATGTCAAGACACACTAATAGGGCACCACTCACACTCTAGTTCATTTTTCATGGGAACCTAAAAGTTCAAGGATATTTTTACTGTAAAAAATAATGGGTAGCCATGGCGCATTCTAGAGAGGAACATGTAGAACCATGGATAAAAATCTACAGGGGACTGATATGACTCTCAAAATTATTCATATTAACCTTGTATCCCAATAGCAAAATCGGTAGATTTTCACAAATCGAAACAAAAACATCAACTCATGCTCAAAAACCCCTTTTGACTGAATCAATAGGATTAATATTCGTATACAGGATTAATATTACGCATAGAGAATTTCTAAGAAACAAACATGAAGCCTCAAAAACTAATCAACAAACCTGCGTAGATGTCAAAGCCATGGTGGAACGTTGTTCAACATCAAATGGCCTGTGAGCCTGTGACAGCAATAAACATGATATTGAGAAATACTAGCAAATAAATAAAAAAACAGAGACAAAATGAAAAGGTGAGAGAGAGAGAGTGAAAAGAGAGAAGACAATTGCTCTCTTTTTTTTAGAGGGCAAGGGTTTGCGTATATACCTTTAGTCTAGAATGGTCACTTGCCGTGATGGGGTGGTCTTCCGTTTGTTAGGGTTACATGAGAGAATATTTGGTCATTAAAGATTATATTTTCTATGCGTGACATAACTTTCTAGAAATTAATGTCATGACATTGATGACTCCTTCCTTGATAAGAATAAGTTAGGTAATTCTCCCTTTTGTCTTTCCTTGGGCTTGCTGGGCCGTTTGAAATGGTCTTATGGGATTTCATCTTAGATGGGCTTATCTGGCCTTGGCTTGGAATGATCTCTTCTAATGNGAAATACTAGCAAATAAATAAAAAAACAGAGACAAAATGAAAAGGTGAGAGAGAGAGTGAAAAGAGAGAAGACAATTGCTCTCTTTTTTTTAGAGGGCAAGGGTTTGCGTATATACCTTAAGTCTAGAATGCTCACTTGCCGTGATGGGGTGGTCTTCCGTTTGTTAGGGTTGCATGAGAGAATATTTGGTCATTAAAGATTATATTTCCTATGCGTGACATAACTTTCTAGAAATTAATGCCGTGACATTGATGACTCCTTCCTTGATAAGAATAAGTTAGGTAATTCTCCCTTTCGTCTTTCCTTGGGCTTGCTGGGCCGTTTGAAATGTTCTTATGGGATTTTTTCTTAGATGGGCTTATCTGGCCTTGGCTTGGAATGATCTCTTCTAATCGAAAAGTTGGGCTCATCTTTGGGTTGTTTTCCCTTGGATATTATGGCATGCCCAGTGTTCAACAGATGTATCAGATTCATTGCTCATACTCTATTATAAATTAGGAAAATTTTGTACGTTCAGAAAGTTGGTTGTTCTACTTATAAAAAAAAATTAAAAAAAAAGAATAGTTAAAGTTGTATTTTTTTAGAATTTTGTGATTANGATGTATCAGATTCATTGCTCATACTCTATTATAAATTAGGAAAATTTTGTACGTTCCGAAAGTTGGTTGTTCTACTTATAAAAAAAAATTAAAAAAAAAAGAATAGTTAAAGTTGTATTTTTTTTAGAATTTTGTGATTGGGAATGATTTATTAGTGATGGTTAAAAAATTAAATTTTTTTAAAAATTCATTTAATTAGAATTTCACTTATAATTCATTGAATAAAATAAAATAAATTATTAATTATATTAATCGTATTAGAATCTTATGTAATTAGGAATTAGTTAGGTTAATTAAGATAAGATTTAATATACTACTCTATAATATATATTATTAAGCGTATTAAAATTTTAAAGAATTCATGTTTTACTTAAAAATGCACTATAATATCAAGCGTATAATTTTATGGCATGCCCAACCACGTTTGCCTCCGTAAGAGAGTATCACTCACGTGACTATATCGCACAAAAAGATAAAATGGCTCAATTGACATAATTAGAGAATTCAGATGGTCAATTGAAAAAAAAAATTAGGAACTTAATTGACACAAGAGTCATAGTTTGAGAGTCATATGTTTAATTTATTCTAACCATTTGTGTCACCTGAGTGACACACTTCACCACTTTTCGTTATAAAATCTAACGGATGCAGATTAAAAGGTTCAATTGACACAATTAAAATATTCAAAAGCTCAATTGATACCAAAAAAAATCAAGAGTTTAATTGAAACAAGAGTCATAATTTGAGAGTTATATATATAGTTTATTCTAACCATTTATATTACGTGAGTGACACATTTTGTCACTTTCTATTAAAAAATCTAACAGATACAGAAAGAAGAACTTAATTGACACAATTAAAGAGTTAGCGGGCTCAATTGATATAAAAAAAAATCAAGAATTTAATTGACACAAATGTCATAATTTGAGGATTATATATATAATTTACTCAATACTATATATTATAACAATCATTTTTCAGGAGAGAAGATTTAAAATATCTCATTTTTCTCAAATTTTAGAAATTTAGATTATTTTATTAAAAAAATTCATTCCAATCATATTCTTCCATGTGGCACTCCTCCATTAACTAATAACTAATCATTTAAAAATTTTTAAAAAATTAATTTTTCTCATTCCTAAATTTTCATAATTCTTTATATAACTCCCTAACTTCTCAAATGATAAGACGGGGAGAGTGAAAGGGAGAGAGATAGAGAATGGAAGCGGAAGGAAAGAGTTACAAATTTGGTGCACTGCATAATTTGCATTGCAATTTGCACGGGTCATCGCCAGTAAATATAAATAAATAAATAAATAACTCCTTCACCAGTGACTGAGTTGGGTTTTAATAAAAATATAAATAAAGAATTATTCAACAAATAAAAATATTTAAATACTCAAAGACTAAATTCTCTCTTTTTTACAGTAAACCAAAGATATTAAATCAAAAATTAAATCAAAAAAAAAAAAAAAATCAAAATGAACTCATTTCTAATGTGCAAGTCTTCTTCCTCTTCACCATCATCCTCGCAGCTTCACCAAACCCCCTCGCTTCCTCGTCCCACCTATCAAAATCTAACCCCTCCACCACCGTGTCACCACCACTCTCCGCCACCTCCCACCTCTCCACCGGCCGTATCGAAACCAACGTCGCTCCCTCCATCACCTTCCCCGTCTCCGGCAGCTCCAACTCCGACACATACCACAGTTTCATCTTCAGAGCCGGCACTCTAGACCTCTCCAACGCCGTCGCCGGAGACTCCATTTTTGCCTCCATGGCCTTCCGCAGCTCCACAATCTGCTCTTTTTTCATGCACACAGTCCCTTGTTTACTCCCATCTGTAATCACCACATTCTCAAGCATTGGGTGCTCTAATATGACTTTCTGCAACAAGTAGTGCCTTGCTGAGGCAGCTATTAAAGTGGAAATTGTCCATACAACTCTTAATTTCAGCTCTTCATCTGTAAAGGGTGTTTCATTTTCTTGTTCTTGGCTTTCTTCTTCGCCATTTCTGTTGAGTTTTTGATGAAATGAAGTAGCTCCGAGTAGTACACAGCTATGGAGTTTGCTCCCAAAATCTGCCTGCCACTTTAAAATCATTTGCTGGGTGTCTCTGCTGTTTGATCCAAGTTCACCACCATGTCCAGGTAGCTCAATTTGCATAGACCGAACCTCCTTGAATCTGCTCAAAACTTCATTTGGGGAATAGTAGAAATCCTCATAATTGCCTTCTGCACAGAGTGAATATGATGAGGACTTGGCTTTGATGATTTGAAGAAGGAATTGGAGTGGTTTTATGGCGACCCAGTTGAAAACACTCTTGAAAAAACCTTTATGCAAATGGCCAGGAGGGTTTGATCTTGAATTCTGATGATCATGGGGGGGTTTGATGTTTTTGTTGTTGATGGGTATAGAATTTCTGCGAGGAATAGTGATGGAAATGGTCTGGGTTTCGGAGACAATTGAACCAAAACGCTTACAGAGTAATATACATCGACAAAGGGACTTGGCGTCCTGTAATTTGTTGAAAATTAGAAGAACAAGAGCATCTGGTAACCGATCAAATTGATCTTGATCTTCTTCTTCTTCTTGGTGGATAGGATTAACAGAATCCATTTTCTCTCTTTTTGGCTGTTAAGTTATGATTGATGGGGCTTTATATGGGAAGTACAAATGATAATTCTAGAGAGAGATGTGCGTGTGTGAAGAGACTAGAGAGAGAATGGAGGTGACGCGGTGGGAATAGAGAGCACACACGTTTTGAGAGAGATTGTACTTTGACTTTGAAAAAATCCTGGGTCAAGTACTCAATTCTACTTTAGATCCCCATAATATTGGGTTTATTTTATTTTAGTTTTTAATATTTTAATTATATTATTTTAGTCGTTAAAATATTAAATATATTTTTATATAATTTTTTAAACAGAGAATGTCTAGATTATTAATAATTTTTTTATTATAAATTTATCACGTGATATTTAAAAATGAGTAAAAAATAATTTAGGTAACTCTTTGATAAACATTTGGGTAATTTTTGATAAAAAAATATATAATATGAATAGTTCTTAACTAAAATTGGAATAGTTCATGATTAAAACAGTAAAATTTAGATAGCACAATTTGAGTAGTACTTTGATCAAAATTTTGTCTATAGTTTAGTGTTGCATGATAAGTTAATGATAAAAAATTATTAACAATCTAGATATTGTCTGCTTGAAGGATTACATAGAAATATATTTAATATTTTAGAGACTAAAATAATATAATTAAAATATTAAGAATTAAAATTAAATAAATTTTATATTTAAGGACTCCAATATAATTAACTCTTAAAAAAATCAATGGTTTCAGACAGCAGAATCATGCGTGGGGCGACTTGGATTATTGGACGGCAAGTTAGGCGACGATGGGTACGTGGAAACCTCATCCAAATCCAAATGCCAAACGGGTAGGGTGTTTGACATGTTGTCCACATGCATATAAATGCTGTACATGTATTGCTAATGGTGTGGATCCACATGCCTTCTCTTCTGTGGGATGGTTTTCTTGACCTTGTTTCTAAACCGTCATATAATCCGGACAAATTTATATATATTTTGATTAATTATTTTTTAATTCAGTCAAACATAGACCATTCACGCAAAAATTAGAGTATTTATAAGAGATAAATCTCTCATAATTTAATTTTAAAATATTATTAAAAATCAAACTCAAAACATCTAATTTTACAGCTCGACTTTATCTACCCTTGAAATTGTGGAATCAGTTTCCCTATTTTTAAATCTTGTCAGCTTCCAAGTTTGAATCAGTAATATTAGAGTTGGCAATTTGTTTTATTTGATTTGACGTTAAATTAATCTATTTATTATTTTTATTAGAAGTCATATCGTATTTAATGTATTGTCAAAGTCCAACAAACATTCAAAATGTGGGTGAGGATGATAATGCAGTGTGGTACGATAGTAAGATACAATATTATGGTGGATGGAGACATGGCAGTCCAGATTACTCCCTCGGGAGGCATTAGACAAAGGGATCCCCTCTCCTTATACTTTTTCATCTTCGTCACTAAAAGCCTAAAAGTATTCTGATCAACCAAGCAACGGCTCCTAATTAGAGATGTTAATGGACCGTAGCGGGGCGGGGGTATAGTCTTTATCCTTGTACCCGTTTAAAAAATTTTCATTCATCCTCAGTCCATCCCCATTAACGGGTATAATTTTTATCCTCATCCCCGTCCACAGATAAATTTATAATCCTCATCCCCGTCCCCGCTTCCCTCGTACCCGCCCAAGCTCAACCATAAGCATAAGCCCAAATTCAAGCCAACATAATCCAACATTTTAAATAATCCAACAACATTATATATAACAAACAAAAAATTCGAACAACAATGAACAATATTTTCATAACTAAATAGAATTACAACAACTGCTAATGTTAACTTTAAATTATACTACGGTGAAACATGAACTATTAATGCTAACTTTAACTTTAAATTATAAAACTGTTAATGCAAGATTTACATATGTAGCTAATAATGTCATACTGATATATGTATATGTATATATATAACGGGTAACGGGGACGGTGACAGGGACAGGGCGGGGGTAGGGGTAAGTTCATCCCCGCCTTTATCTCTGCACGGGTTTATATAGGTATTTCTGTATACGTCTACCGTCCAATAAATATAGTGTATTTCCGGTCCAAACGGGACAAATTTGGACGAATACCCGTTTTTCTCTGGTCCACTGCCATCCCTACTCCCAATGGAGTGGGAAAAATCTAAAAAGTAGACCCTGGTCTGGATTAAAGAGAGAATACTCTCCAAAGTAGCAGGATGGAAGGAAGGTTTCTTGAATCATGCAGGAAGAGAAGTGCTAATCAAATCTGTGGAGCAAGCCTTACATATGTACACTATGTCAATCTTCAAATTCCCCAAGAATTTCTGTCAAGAGATCAATGCAAGCATCAAGAGATTTTGGTGGAACAAGATGACAGGGGAGAAGGGAATTCACTGATGGAGATGGGATCATCTTATACCAGAAGCAAGATGGAAGGGGGACTGGGATTCAGAGATCATGAGGATTTTAAAAGGCCATTCTTGCAAAACAAGTTTGGAGGTTTATCAACAACCCAGATGCTCAATGGGTAAGGATGTTACAAGCCAAATACTGCCAAGGCCAGTCTATATGGGAGACTTTTCATAAGCCTTCCAACTCATGGATATGTAATAGTCTACTGGAAGGAAAGAAAGTGATTGCTAAGGGATGCATCTGGAAAATTGGAGATGGATGTGATGTTAAATGTTGGGAAGACCCTTAGGTTCCAGGCCATTTTCAGATTCAGAACACAGGGCAGAGTAGCATTCTGAGAGTTCAAGAGGTGATTAAGCAACCTTAAGAGAATATGGAACTCAGATCTTATTCTTAGAATTTTTGCACCAGATGTCACGAGGAAAATCCTCTCCATTCCGTTAGCAGAGACAACACAAAATGATGATGTTAGATGGTTCCACACTAAATCAGGCTGTTATACAATCAAAAGTGGTCACCATATGCTGAAACTAATCAAGGACCCCACCCCCCAAAAAAAAAAATCCAATGCCAAGGCCAGGTCATCCTTCCAACCCCAAAAGTACTATGGAAAATGATTTGGAGCCTCAAATTACCTCCAAAGATCCAATCTAATGGAGCACTGCCTACCAAATGGGCACTTTGGAGAAGGAAACTTCTACAAAATCCTACATGTCCAATATGTGGAGAGGAGGAGGAAACAGTGTAACACCTTCTACTATGTCCTTGGGCTGCCTCAGTTTGAAAGTCTCCCCTTGGAATTACCATTAATAGATGTGGCCTCTCAAGGATGGAAAATTGGCTCTTAAAAGTGTTTAAGGAGTGTGAAAGTATTAACAGTATTGAACAGCCAGGGCAGCCCCTAATCGCCTTTTTATGTTGGTTTATTTGGAAAGCACGCAATGAATGGATATACCAACACAAGCAGCCAAGTTGTGACAGATTCATCCTTCAAGCAATGGAAGCTTTTTCAGAAATGCATCATACAAGGGATGAAGATGGTTTACAGGCCAACACAATTTCAGAGAAGTTGTATGGACTCCACCACGTTTTGGCTAGATAAAAATTAACTGTGATGCAGGGGTGATCCTTGACATTTTGGGGCCTAAAGCGGCGACTAAAAAAAAGGCCTTTTATTTTTAAAAATAATATTTTATTTAAAATTTGTTCTTCTTGCTTTTTGAGATGCAAAAATACTAATTAAGGTTTTATATTCAAGTTTTGTTGTCATATCTTTTTCGATTGATAATATTGTTAATTCATTTAATCTTTCTTATGACATAGTTGATCTTAGATAAGATTTTATTAATTTTAATTTTGAAAAATTTCTTTCCGCAGAAGCAACAGTTATAAGAATTGTTAATAATATTCTATAAGTTATACATATATTCAGAAAAGAATCTAATTGTTAACTTAATATTTTAATTGGAGTACTTTCTTCCATAGGTAAAATTTTCTTTAGAATATTTAATTCTGAAAACAAATATAAACCATCAATATCAGAAAAACTATCATGTTTTAAGAAAAACTCAAGATCAAGACAATTTTTTTTAAACTATCATTTCCTAATGATTTTAATTTTTTTTAAATTAAATAAAAAACCAAATATATTTTCATATATTTGAAATTGTTCAAATCTACTCTTTAACAAAGAAATAACTTGATCTACTATGTATATAAAATAATCAATTTTAAAAGATTCTTGAATAGATTTTGTTTCTTCGTCATCAACACGCTCATTAAATTATTTTTTCCTACGAATTGTACGTTTTTATGAAATGTAGGTTCTATTCTTATTTCAATTGCAATCTCTTTAGATGAAATCATAGCATTTGTAAATTCATTTTCTCTATATTTTTCAAAAAAAGATATGAGACCTTTTAATTGATCAATAACAACATCAATATACATGTCTTTTGATTGTAAATGTTTACTAACTAAGTTGACAGAAAATAAAATATCATACCAAATAGTCATGCTCAATAAGAACTCAAAATTCTCAATCTCATACATTACTAAACAATTAACTTCACTTCTTATTTTAGGATCTCCACTAGTTTCTCCTAATTGTAACAATACATCTCTTATACTTGGAGCATGAAATTTAATTGCTTTAACACTTTCGATTTGACTTTCTCAACGTGTTTGTGACAATGATTTAATTATCTTGTAAAAAATTTCATCCTTTTGTAGAAGAAGCAAATAATGAATATATGTGTTGTACTACTCTGAAAAATGACATAGCCTTGGGACAAGAGTTAGTCATATTGCAAATGACTAGCTTTAGATTATGACAACCACATGACGTATAAAATGCTCTAAGATTTATATATAAAAGTCTTTTTTGTAGCCCTTTATATTTTCTTTTCATGTTAGATCCATTATCATACCCTTGTCCCTGTATATCATTAATATCAAGTTCGATGTTTGTTATTGTATCTATGATTTTGTCAAAAATACATTTTCCACTTGTGTTATCTACTTTAAGAAACTTTAAAAAGTACTCTTCTATTTTTATTGGACTTGTTGAGATATCTATACAACATAATATGAGAGACATTTGTTCTTGATGACTTACATCCGGAGTACAATCAAGTATAATTGCATAATATTTTATTTCTTTA